CGCCGAAGCCTATCGGCTCCGGCTTGCCACATGTCCTGGCCGGCCCAAGAGGCCGCTTAGCGCCCACTCTGCCGATGCTACGAGACACTCTGCGTCGGATGGTGCGGCGTGTAAGGCCGTCGGCTGTGATGCTGATGTCCCGTGGATTGCTGGTGCACCGCTTCGGCGAGATTGCGCCTTTTCATTTTGAAATGGTGGGAAATTCATAACTAATTCATATGCTCGCTTCTGAAATCGGGAGCAAATTCTATAAAATGCTCGCATCTATGTTTTCTTAATGGACCCATGCTTGAGTGCATTTGGCTCTTTTGAATTTCATTGCTTCTTAGGTGCTATTCAAGGCGTGCATCTAGCGACTATAATCTGATGCGTTTTGTCTTTGGAATGAGATCATGAGTCAGTGAGGGAATCTGAGCGCTACTGAAGGTGCCACGCGTAGCACCTATTACGCATGGCTAATATAGAAATGCTAGTGCCATTATCATGATCACATTATGGTAGGACTTGCATGGGTATGTCCTTTACCTTGGCGCAACCTTACCTGCTCACCACCGGGCTTGCCCTATTACATTTCATCGCTTATTGGGTACATTGATGCCAAGTTTGCGTGTGTGACCAGGTGCTTTTTGAATTATAGAGCACTTTCTAATTTAGCTTGCATAGTAAATTTGTAAATCAATATAAAATTATGTAGTTGTCCAAAATTTATGAAACCAAGTTGTTAGGTTCACAAAAATGTAGGTAGTGATAACAATAGGTAACTTAGTATCTTAGCCGGTAGCACTAGCTAGTAGTTAGAATGATGTACTTTCATTTTAAGAGTCGTTGTTGCTATATTACTAAGTATTGCATCATTATTTCATGCATGTAGATCACGAGTTGGTAGAGTTCGTGCCTGTCGATGAACAGGAGTACGAGGAGGAGATCATTGAGGAGTACGAGGAGAGGAGATCCTCCGTGAGGGAGCCCCGAGCCTTTTTGGTGCTGACCTTGTTGGCGAATTGTCAGTCATTTGCCCAAGGCAAGCCCCCCTGCATAACGCCTATTTTATGATAATGGTGAATATATATATATATATATATATATATATATATATGATGTGCATTTAAGTTACAGGCATTTTATGGAAACTACATGCATAAATATATCTACCCATGAGTCCTACTAGTATAGGTCGAGTAGTTGCTACGCTTAGGATATCGGTAGCGTGAGTAACCTGCCGTTACTCGCAAATAGGTGATAAATATGATCACTCATGATAAAATGGTGGAAAGGAAAATGATGACCGGGCAGGGATATGGTTTGGGTACTGGTGGGTGTAAAGGGTTGTGTCCTGTGGCCAACAGGGCATAGCTCGGTTACACTTTTTCTCTGTCTGTGTCGGTTAAGGACCGGTCGTTGCAACGGACGCTAGGCAAGTCACAGATCTATTGTCTCGAGCACATACTTGGGTATGGGCGCAGGGAAGGCTTGTTGCTCTCCTGTCGTGGATCCGGCTCTTTCTAGACCAACTGATTGGAGGCGGGGATGGTGGAGGTCCTTGCACCGCACTGAGTCCGGGACTCAGGGATGGGGGCTTGGAGTCCAAGTTTGGACGAGGACCTGGACACCCAGGACAGGAGGGTGATGGGTTGGTCCTGCTTGTGCCTGGGGTACAAGCGGGGCGTGTGTTTTCGGGGCACCCAGCTGGGGACATTGATTCGTGAATCGCCGCCGAGTCGGTACGGCTTGTCTTAACTCTAGCATCGTAGTAAGAACTGAAAGATGGAAGATGATGAAATAGAACCGATTGTTCAACTCTTGCTTGAAACTAGAATCGGTGCTTATATAGACTGGATAGATAATAACTTAATACGGCTAATAATATTAACATAAATAAGGACTCACTATTAGTATTAGTTTCTGCCAAAAAAAACCAGCAAACCATAAAGCTTATCATATTCATTGGAGTCAGAAATTTATTCCTACTAGTCGGATAAGTCTTGCGAGTACATTGTGTACTCAGGGTTTAGTTACCCCTGTTGCAGGTAATGCATGAGAAGTACCTTTGTGTGGAGGATTCTTCTGGTGGGCTCAGACGGATCCTCGTCCCTTATCGCTAGATGTTATTTTTAAATTCCACTGTTTATTATTCCGCACTCTGACATTTGGTAATATAATAATGTACTTTTTAAGAAACTCTGATGTATGAAATGGATCAGTATTGTAACTCGTTCTCATTATTGGATCCTTGGGAAAAATATGGATCTTTCGGGTTCTCCCTTGGGGTGTGCCCAACGGATACCACCGCTGTAGCTTGCTTTCGGGGTGCTTAGTGTCTGGTGGAAGGCGAGCACCTCCGTAAGCGTGTTATTTCGGACGATTCTGCCACACAACTTGTGTTTTCAGGGGACAGGATAGTTAGGCGAGAAGATGGTGTTGCTGTGGGTGGTCAGGATGCTATAGAGGTGGACGCCGATGTTCAAGAAGACATAGGGGAACAGGAAATTCGAGCGCTGCAACCACCAAAGATCTGCTGGGAGAATTCCGTGGTGATGCAACAAGTTTCAGGTTCTGGTCCATTAGCGGCTTAGCCTTTGGGCTAGGACTGCGTTATTGCGATTCAATCAATTTCTGAGTCATTGGCTTAGTACTGTAAACGACCTTTAGGTCTTTGCTTTGGCAGGCGCGCCAAAACGCCTTGGACTTGGATGCTTTGATCGCTTTACGCGTAATAAAGCGCGCGAGCGCGGGGGACCTATTCTCTAAAAAACCATCCATCCTTCGACCAAATAATCAGCCTGTTCGATTGGCTGATTCATATCGTTGTTGGTTTGTGAAAAATATACTTGCTGGTGGGTTTGTGTGAAAGAAAAATACTATTTCGACTAAAAATTTACGATTGTATACGACAAGCACAAGCCAAATGAACACGCTGAATGTTGCCAACAACTCATTCTCTAGCACAAACTATAGCTCAACGTGGCAAAATAGGAACAGGATCAGTACCAACAAATATTTCTCTGGCAACAATTGCTAAGCAGACGAATTTGCTACCACCTCTTTTTACCTGACATCAACATTAAAAACAGACTAAAACAGATTAGTCTTGAGCCAGTAAGATCAACAGGCGCAATGGCACATTGTCCCGGCCCTGACTCAAAACCGTTGTAACAAGAACACAAGATTGGGGGATTGAAATGATAAAAAACCAATCAATTAAGAATTTTAAGATAATGTGCATATTTGTTTGATTAATCAAGAATCACCGCGTTCGGCTGGTCTAGTACCGGCTTATTTCTGCTTGTTTTAGCTTATTCTCTTTCACAGAACACTATCGAATCATCCAGAACCATCCAAAATCTACTGTGCATATCACCAGCCAAACGAGCTGGCTGTAAAAAAATAACATTAGACACAGAAAAAAGGTACCGCATATGAGTGAATATGTGCAGGAAGGATATCATTTCATTGCCTAGGTTGATGTAAGTAATCTAAACCAATGAAATCTACCACAAGCTGGTCTTTACATGTCATACACATGCCCTGTGATCATACTGTCATGTGGGCCAGCCTATCACATACATTCCTTTGTATTAGACTGCCATGTGGGACCAACCTTTGGGAAAGAGGAGCTACAAAAGGGACCAGGCAGTAGAAGAGAAGCATCGAACAGAATACAATAACAGAACACGGACAAAGGGAAGGAAGCGATTCTTCCTCCTCCGTATTGACATCATCCTTCTCAGATTATCCCTGTGATTGCTCACGTCGCTGATTTGATCTTGTCGGCGGTCACGGGTGTGACAGGTGGTATCGGAGACGGTCTTCCTCGGTGTGGGTGGTGGGCGGCGTCCGCTCCTGCACAGTTATCACTCTTCATCCAGACCTGGTATGGCGGTGGCGGATTTCTCCGATCCGGCGCAGCTGGCTCTATCTGGGGGAATTCACTGTGTGCTATTAAAAAAGATCGCAATGCCATGTATGCCCCTGGAAAAGTTCAGCGGTCTTCAGCGCCACTACTCTAATTTTTTTTTTGTCCTCCATACCACTTCCGTCAGTTTGAGCTCTAACGCCGTCAAACTGCAGGTGTGAAAAGACGAAAATACCCTTAAGTCTAAATATGTTATTAATTTTTTTTGAGCATCTTAACGACTTCAAATGAAAAAACTCAAAACTAGAAAATTATAGATCTCATCGAGATCTATAATTTTCATATAAAAATTATTTTCATTTAATTCCGAAAAAAAATGATTTGATATGATTAATATATCTTAGAAAAATCATATATTTTTTTGCGGAATTAAATGAAAATAATTTTTATATGAAAATTATAGATCTCGACGAGATCGACAACTTTCTAGTTTTGAGTTTTTTCATTTAAAGTCGTTAAGATGCTCAAAAAAATTAATAACATATTTAGACTTAAGAGTATTTTCGTCTTTTCACACCTACAGTTTAACGACGTTAGAGCTAAACTGACGGAAGTAGCATGGAGGACATGAAAAAGTTGGAGCAGTGACGCTAAAAACTGCTAAACTTTTCTCAGGACACACAGAGTATTGCGATCTTTTTAATGGCACACGGAGAATTGTCTCCTCTATCTATCCGGGTCTCCTCTGTCTATCCGGCGTGGGTTTGCTGCAGACGACGCGTCGACTTCTCTAGTCGACGAGTCCACTTCTACCTGCGGTATTCATTCTGCTCTTGGTGGTGCGGGTGACGGGTACCTTCTGTGGAGTCCGGTGGCGTGGTGCGGGACTCTGGCGTTGAGGTGACGGGCACTCTGAGTGGAATCCGGCGGCGTGAAGAGGGTATTCCGGCGGGTGGTGGCGGTAGACCTCAGATCAGGTTCTCCAGCGGCATGCAACAACGTTCGCGTGGGGTCTAGCGGCGGTAGCGTCGCTCGAGGCAAGCAGTGGTTGCAGCAACTAGCCTTGGGTGAGGGGTACAGGGATGATGAGTTCAGCAAGGTGCTCCGTAGCATTGATTCGTTGCTACGGAGGCATGCTGCCCACAACATGTTTGATGAAATGTCTCCTTTGAATGTGGTCTGGGATGATGGGTTACTGCATGGACTTGACTGCCATGAGGAATTAGTGCAGCAAGAAGGTCTGTTCGATGAGTGCTTGAATGTGGACAGCATGGCAGCAGTCGATCTGCTCACCTTGCTCACTCATGGCAGTGAAACATTTCTCAAAGAGGTTGACATGGATACTGCAGATAAAATATTCAATGATTTGCCTCATGAAGTTGTTTGGGATGAGGAGATGTCGACTAATATAGGCATGCATAGTGGCTTGTTGCAGCAGCTTGCATTTGGCAGCAAGAGCACAAATGACACAACTGGATAACCTAATCAGTCTGACATCAACACACAGGAAGGTCTATTGGAGCAACTGCCTTGGGTGAGGGGTACAGGGATGATGAGTTGGTGCAAGGTGTTGGGTCAGATGACAGTTTATTCGAGCTAATAGCTCATGGAGATCGTTCAGTTTGCATGAACAGCAAACCAATTGCCGAGCCAATCTCCGGCAAGGCTTTGGTGGCAACAAAGGATGTTTTAGAGCAGTCGTTTGATGAAAGCCCTGTGTGGGATGACAATCCACAGTATGATACTGAACCCATGGATGACATGAACTTGGATGTAGCTCATGTGGTAGAGCCACTCACTAAGGACTTTCAGGTACTTTCCAATGTCGAAGGCTCCTACCTTTGCCTAGAAAAGGCTATTGATGCTGCTAACAAGGTGCAGAACCTCACAGAGGAGATCATCAAGGTACTTATCAATGATGCATTCTGGGGTGATGAAACTGCTGACACCATCACCCAACTTGCTGCAGATATCATATCAATTACATATGCATTCAGTTTGGGTGATATTCTTCCTTTAGGGAATACTGATGATGTACAGGTTGTTAGCATCGTCAACCGGAACAACTGTGACCTGGCACACTTTGGCGTGCTGGTTCTGCAGCATGATCCAATCGCTGTTGGACATCCCATGTTTAATGACATATGGCAAAGAAAAGATTTCAGTCCTTGGCAATCTTGGAAGCTCTGGGATCACTTGGTGTTTATTATGATGTTTCCACAACATCATTATGGTTTCAATCCTTGGTCTGGTGTTCACAGATGACGTCTACAGTGGAGATTGCTCAATGGATAGATGACCAGATGCATTGCGAGCAGATCGATTCCAAGACATATGTACTGTCTGAGTCTGATGCTCTCATAGTGTTCAATGAGATGGCTTTTTCAGATGGGGTATGGAATAAGGTCCTGCTTGACATAGATGACCACAACAGCTTATGGCATGAACTCATTGAAGGTGGAGAGTGCATGGGCAGCAGGGAGACAATGATGGGGTGCTCTCTTCATCCACCATCACCAAGTGGTTTGATATTGGGAGATGGGCAAATTAGGTTGCAACTGCCAGGATCTGCAATGTGTCCTACTCACCAGACATTTGCTGGAATGCCATGTCAAATGAGTGATTACTGGGTGCTACATACAATACTTCATACTGATGGGTTGATAACTGACAAAGATGGAGAGGAAAGAAAAGGTATGCCACTGTTGCAGAGGGGATGGCCAACTGTACTTATACCCAAGGTACTTGAGGAAATGCACTGTCAGGACTTTGTATGGGATGAGCACTTGTCATGCCAGCGCGGTGTCTGCAATCTCCAACATTTGAGGATGGTAAATACTAGTTGTGTAGTGCTTGACCAGCTGTCAGGTGGTTTCGGCCCTGGACATTTTCAGCAACTGAATATTGACGAAAGGCCTCGAGATCCTGGTATTGTAATGAACAACCTGCATATATCTGTTGTTCTGTTGATGATAGTGCAGTCGCCTACTGTGTGGAATGAGGAGCATCCACATGACCTCAGCTTACAGCAACTTACATGGGCTCAGGTGTGCATAGATAAAACGAAGACCAAATTGATGCCTGAGCTTAATGACTTGCCATTAATTCTGGAGCTTGCTATTCATGCTAATGATCTGGAGTTTACAGAAATGCTTATTGTGACCCCAGATGTTATGATGTCCGGACTTGCTAATCAGGAGACAGAAAACATACTTGCCCTATTTGGTGGTCCTTTGTTGTTCCTAGAATATGCAGTAATTCATACAGATCACTTACAAGGTCAACCGGGGAATATGTGGGAAATTAGTGCAGCTTGTCAAATGGTCATGGCTACAATGAAGTGGTGGCATAAACATTTCAGCCCATGGAAATCTAATTTGGTCTGTTCTGAGAAAATGTCACCTTGGAATATAAATGTATTCGACCCTGGAGATGGCATGCAACAACACTTCAAAATAACAAATTTTGCTTTGGTCCCATTGCTCGGGTCTAAGATAAACAAAGAATTTCAAGATAGACTAGAGCAAGTTGGTGGACAAATGCTCCTATATCAGTTTGTTGGTGCAAAAACTGAGGTATCAACAATTCCAATATATAATTGCACTAAGCTTTGTCTTGTGCTACTTGGACATGAGATTCTGGAAACTCTGATTTCTATAACTTCGGTGATGGAGAAACTGAGGTTGACTTTTCCATGGGACCCAGGCGGTCACAGTTCAAGCTATGTACACATCTAGAGTTAGAAGCGTCAGCTTGAGGGCAAGCTGAATCTTTAGGGGGGGATAATGTCATACACATGCCCTGTGATCATACTGCCATGTGGGCCAGCCTATCACATACATTCCTTTGTATTAGACTGCCATGTGGGACCAACCTTTGGGAAAGAGAAGCTACAAAAGGGATCAGGCAGTAGAAGAGAAGCATCGAACAGAATACAGAAACAGAACACGGACAAATGGAAGGAAGCGATTCTTCCTGCTCCGTATTGAGATCATCCTTCTCAGATTATCCCTGTGATTGCTCACGTCGCCGATTTGATATCGTTGGTGGCCACGGGTGTGACACTACATGTAGAACAATATATGATCCTATGATGTTAAAACTTAAAAGCTCCATTCTAAACAGTGTAACTCGTGTATATGTAGAATACCGACCTAATCTGATGAAAAAAGAAAGGTGGCCTGATTCAAGTAATTTGAATCGGTGCAATGTGTAAAATGGAAAAGGGAGAAAGGGAAAGGGAAAGAAAACCACGGTTATTTGAGCATGCTTTAACTTCGGCTGAGTATGGGCTGGGCCGAAAACACTGCCCTGTGAAGTGTCAGATTCCGAAGCACACTGTACAAGGTACTTCAGCTTTATGCCAGAATACTTTATGAGCATATGTAAAGCAGTACTCCTTCTGTCCCAAATTATTTGTTGTTTTAGGTTTCCATGCCACAAATTTGACTCGATTTGTAGAAAATATGTGCAACATTTGTATCTTCAAATAAATTTATTAAAAAACTAGATTCAAAGATCTTTCCAATGATATCAGTTATGTACCATAAATATTAATATTTTAATATATATTTTGTAAAAGTTATTTCTCGGGAAACGAAAACGACAGATATTTTGGGAAGGAGTACTCTGTATGATTTTATTAGAGCACGCCCATATCGCAATGTATCGAAATGATGGCCACCTACAAAATCTAGCATATTGTTGAACTTCTTGCAGGAACTATACTGAACATAATTGGATTAAAACAGCACAAGGATAGGGAGCACCACAGTCCACAGTTTTGCTATGAAGTTGCCACATAATTCAAGATAAATTGATATCTGGAGGAATAGCTTCTGGTGCATCATGTATAAATTTGATTGAGCGATCGATACAAAAATTGAACCAAATGACTGGAACCTCAATTACTACCATTATTGTGCTGGGAGGAAGAATTTTAGCGTTTTGGGGGGGGGGGAGTGGGTGACGTTAGTAAAATTTACTTTTAAGAGATTAAAAAGATGAAGCTGGAAGAGACAAAAGTTGCAAATCACCAATGCGAGCAACTGACCGAAGAGATGCAGACTTGCGGAGCAATTTGATAATGGATAAGAACCATCAACATAAAAATAAGCATATGAAGCATTAGTTAAGCTGGAAGAAAGCGTAAGCTTTCAATTTAAGGATTACATGGAGTGCAAGCTACCTTGTTGCATTAGTTAAGCTATATGAACACAACTTGGGCTCTTAGACCAAACAACAAAGAGCAATATGCGCAACTGGACCTGTGAGGTAGACAATTTTGTCCATGTTCTAGTTCACCACTAACTAACAATGTGTTTAGGGCCTGTCAGAACCACTTCGTCGTCCTATTCCTATACATTAAAATTAAAATGGTTCTCACAGGTCCTATATACATTGCTATAGTTCTGAACTAGAAAATGGAGAAATTTGTATATCTCACAGGTCCTACTTGTGCATGGACGGTATCCTAAGCAAGCAAAGAACCTGCCAAAACTGGAAAGAGCATGGTAAATTGCCTTCCACAAAGAAACATGCAGCTTGCCATACCCATCAAATAAAACCATACCCATTAGCCTCAACAATTTTTTTTAAAAAAGAAAGTAAGATGAGATCCTTTGGTACCTTATCCAAATGCTCTGTTCCTCTGCTAATAACTTCCAAATATAGAAATAGCGAATAAGGTTAATAAATTGCCAGCCTGAAACAAACATTCCATAAGAGGTGAAAAATACATACCATACAGTAGCGTGAAAATAATCTTCAGCCCTGATGGAAAGTTAGTAATTGATACTTCCCACATGGCAAAACAAAATGCAGAATACACAAAATAATAAAAGCTGTCATATTGTAATAATTGGCAAAGGCGACTTGCACATAACCACTTGTCATCATGACAGACGACACATGCAAATTGGGATGCACCAAAGAATTGCCTCGGGGTAGAAAATGTAAGTTTAGCCATGGCAAATTGAATTCATAAACATTGACATTTTGATCTATCCTTTTATGTCATACCAAGTGTCTCGAGAAACTAACACCATATATCACATAAATACGACAGACGATAACATCATCAGACCAGTATCACTAACAACAGCAGATGCATATAACAGTGAGAGAAAAGAAAGGAAGAATATTCATAATTTAACAGCTATACCATACTTCTACCCTGTCTATAAACTCCATACAGCTAAACATAGCACAAAACTGTACACTCGCAAACCTAAAGGGGCATTAAGTGTTTATGCCTGGCTTCTCCGGCAGAAATTGCTTCATCTCCTGATCTGCACTCCCGTCGACAATACTGGGGAGCCCAAGAGATAGAGACAGTGGTTCATCATCTACAATATCTGAACCAGAAAGATTACGCTTCGTTGCCACCATGGATAGGGAAAGTGACAATAAAGCGGAGGAGCCCTCATCTGCCTTCAGTGATGCCTAATTTAAGCTAGTACTAGGTTCTGGGGAATCTTCATCGTCAGATGAAAGAACATGGATGATATGATCAGGTACAGGTTTTTTAAAAGAGACAGGATCTGCAGGACCCCTGTGACAATGCTGTAAAACATCGAATGGATTATCCTGTTCAGCCGGTAAGGGATGTATCTTGGACAAGCATTTAATAGGTGGCATTTCATCTCCAAAAATGCTAGTAGAGTGTTTGCCTTAAGAAGTCTTCTGCCTTTTGTTGGTGAGGTCAGAATCCAAAGAACCCATATCTGAACTTGGAGTTGATTTGGTTTGATTATCACATATCTTTGATCCACTAAAATGACAATGCGAGGGCAGAAGACCATGTTTCTTAAGTTTCATCTCATGTGACATTGATCTAATTGCACCTGGTTGCTGTGAAAAACAGAAGAGAGATTCATTCTGATCTGCTTTCTCCATTTTGTTTCCACCTGCTGTTCCTGTGCTACCTGAAATGAATAATATAAGGATTAAACAACAAGCAAGGATATATCCAGAATTGACATGTAGCTTTATCCCATGAAAATATGCCACCACCTTTTGCACCAGCGGGATAATCCCGAACCATGTCATGACCTTCTCCTGTTGAGATTGTGGGAAGATTAGTTCCATAGGGAGCTGCAGAAGGATGCCCCAGTATAATTTGTCTTGTGCCTGCAGTTTCTTCATGATGTATTTCACTTGCATTCAGATTTCTATCCTCGTGTTTGGACTCTAATAAAATATTATAATCTACAGATGCATCAGATTTCTCACTCTCTGATCCAAGTGAAAGAGCCGGATCAGATATATCATCATTAGGGCACTCATTCAAATCTATACCCAAAGGCTGAAGTGCCTTAGGGGAACCCATATCATGCTGGATAACAGGTCCATTGATTTGTTCTAATGGACAATTATTTGTAGGAAGCTCTAGTGGACTACTTTCTTTCCGGGCATAAAAAATGCCCCAAAAGAAAAGTAAACCATTCCAACCTGTAAAATATCATAAAGAATCCATTAAAAGGAGGCAATGAGCAATCCTGCCAAGAGACAGCAACATTAGCAAAGAAAAACTCACGTTGAATGCTCTCTGGCAATTTATCAGATGGAAAAATGAGAAGTTCAGTGCCACCAATATTTGCTTTGAGAGACAAATCACCAAGAAGCATGTTATCCAAGAGTTTACCATATGCCCTTTCGTAACTGTTCAAGGAGACAGGAGACCTCAGCTAGTATACAGAGGATTGATACTCATGAAACAGTGAAATGGTGAGAAAAGTGATACCTTTGAACATCTTTAGCAAAGAAAAAAAGAGCAATATTATCTTCAGTTGGATTTACTTCATTAAATTGCAGCGGCCATGAGGAATGCCGTGGGACTCCTGCTAGCTGAATTTTATCAGGTAACTGTTCACCTACTTCACGTACTTTGGACGAGGCACAAGTAGACAAGTAAGCTTGAAACCCATCAAACATTTCAGGGGAGTTTCCATGTCCTGAAACCTCAAAGCTACCCCTGAAATAGAAGAAATTCACTGTTAAAACTCTGAACTAGTAAACGGAAGTAAAGGGAGAAGAGGAGGGTCATACTGCCAGATGTAAGACTGCTCTGGAATAACATAATCTTTTAAAGGATTCCCAAGAGCTGAAGATTGATCAGCAAAAGTTTCCTTCTTCAAATCTGGTTTATCCAATTTATTATCAGGGGGGGATAGATTGTGTGCCATCTGAAGACCACGTGGAGTCACAGACAATATATCTCCTGAATCTTGAACCACCTCTACAATTTTACAGGAATCATCTCCTGTGTTTTCCAAAAGCTTTTGTTGGCAACATACCACTTTCGGAGCTGAATCATCAGAGGTGCTTTCTCTTGGAACATCTTGCAAATCTGATTCACAAGTCATGGCAGTAAATGTTGTGGGAACCACCTCGGCATGCTCATTTGGCGCTATGTTAACATTATTCACTGAAATGAGTAAGCCGTCATCCTCAACATCATTTGATCTATCCTTTTTGGCACATTGGGATTGAACTGGTGGATCAGATATCTTTACTCCGTAAGCATCTTTACCAGAAACTTCCATTGGTTTTGGATGCACGGTAACATCTTGCTTGCCATTGTCACTTCTAGACAAATCATAGCTCTGCTTCTTTTCAGCATATCCTGATTCAAGCAAACCATAAAGAAAGCACATCAGGGAAGGGGCGGACAACTAAGATTTTCCATTTATCTTTCTTTTGAGAAATAATTAAGTAAATGAAGAGCTTACCAGGTCTGTTGCTACTTTTAAGGGGGTCCCTTTTAAGTATGCTTGTTCCAGACCTTGAAATATCCTGATCAATTTTTCTTTCCCCTGACTTCATACAGCTGTCAGGCCTTGGAGATGAAGGAATGTTTGGTTTTTTCAAACTAAAGGAAGCCCTTCTTTCTGTTAAATTCTTTTCCTTTATTGGCTTCAGTACTCCTGGTTTTTCATCTTGAGACAAATGAAATGTTTGCTTTTGTTTTGATGATCCAGCATCTATGGAATCTGAACCCTCACGTTTGAAAGATCCTGATTGTACAATCTTTTTGATGGGTTCCTTATCTCTAGGATCTCTTGGGGAATGTTCTGCAGGTCTTAACTTGCTAGACATCCCATCAACCAACTGCTTGACCTTTGGTCCGTTGTTGGTGCTGTTGAAGGATAGCTGCTTGGATAAAAGGCCTGTTCAGAAAAGCTAGAAGGTTAGCATACGAATCCAGACTAAAAGTAACAATAAATAAAACAAAGATTACTTGTGAATAGAATACCAAAAGAATTTAGCCAAACCTCTTGGTGAAGGAACTGGAGCTTTAGCATTCATCATGTTCCCCAAGGAATATGACCGTGACAAGGTCTGAGAACTTTTGACCACCTGGGTAGTTCTCACCAGAACATTATCAACTGAAGTTAAACCTCCCTTGCTAGATTTCTTAAATGAGTTCTCACGAGAGATGACATCTTGCTTTCCAAGGCTCCCTGTCTTGAAGAGCCTAGGCTTAGGGGACGACGTACTCTCTGCATGTCTCTTACATGATATTGGTGGACTCCGTAGGCCTTCATTTGAGAGTGGCGATTCCATATCAGTAGAAACTCGCAACTTTTTGTGGTTTAACAGAAATTCTGAACTTTGACTCTTGTTATAGACTCCAGATGTTGGTGTTCCATAACTGCGTGGTCGTATGTCCAAATCAGATGTAAGAACTTGCAGTTTGTTACGGTTTGCAACGCTTAATGATTTTTTGTTCTTCACATCCAATCTTTCAGCAGCTGGGGTGGTATCCTTTACTTGGCGTGTTTGTGTATCAGCTGAAGCTAAATGCAATCTTTTACTCTTACCATCACACCGATCAGCTGTCAGTGCGCTGTGTGTGACTTGCGGAGAATCCAAATCAGGCACAACAATTTGCAATGCCTTAGGCTTGCTTTGACTTTCTGTCCTTTGGTTCTTTCCTTCTGTCACATTAACCGCCACGATACCATAGTTACTTGTATTTTTCTGATCTTCCTTAAGTTGGCATTCTTCACAAAACCATTCATCAACTGGAACTTTTTCCATCTTCACTCGCATGCAGTAACTAGTAAAAATAAACTAACAGTTAACACTGACATGTCCATGTGAAATATGGATGTTGTGTATGCATTTTACCTTACAAATAATGCACCTAAAAAGTTATGATACAAGTACTAGACAAATCTGAATAACCAACAATGTTTTTGTTTCCTTCGACACATAAACCCTGATGGACCTAAAAATATTATGTGACACCACCATGGAAGGAAATTAACTTCTGCACAAGATCAATGGTTGGCCGCAATGGTAGGTTACTACCTGAGCAGATTATTAGTGTAGGTAAAAGTCCAGATTAAATTATTTAAAGTGCCTTGTCTGTACTCTCTCCAATCCCAAATAGAAGTCCATTTGGAGTATTGGACTCGGGCACAAAAATTAAGGTGAGGGGTACAATGAAGATATTGTCCATTAATTATTGCTAGAATTGAGTGACAAGTGTATTGCATTGATTAGTGTACATTGGAAGAATGAACCAAAAATGTGCTGGAGTTATCATGAACTTATATTTGGTGCACTTGGGAGAAAGCTAGCTGGACTCATATTTTGAATCGGAGGAAGTATGAACTATAAAATTTGCCAGTAGGTATGGTCAATATCACTTCCACTGCTAAATGAATGACTTCTTAGTCAAACAAAATACTGGACGCAACTGATAGTTCCAACTTCCGACAAATACTAGAAAAGAAAACTATCACAGAATGTAACTTACGTATGTTCTGCTCCCTCAAGGCATCTGGTGCATGTAGCTAGAAGATACTCCCTACCAACATCTCCACATATATCACAAACATTAACCTGGGATTGATGCAAACCAGACATAAATGTTAAAAACGAATCTAGCATACAAGTACGTAAATAAAATATGATGATTACAAATAGTAAAAATAAAGTGCTTAAATATGCAAACAGGATACAGACATTGACAACAAAAGTGCCATAAAGGAAGATAGAAAGAAAAAAAAACTCATGTATATTCAGATACCAAGCTAGTTGCATATAAAGTTTTTTTGGGTTAGGAGCAGGATGGACCTTGATTAAAGAAAACAAGCAAATAATGATTATGACCATAGCATCATGATTACAAAGAATAAGAAAATGCTTGATCATATACTCGGAGTCATCACAGTAAAGTTTTCCATGTATTTTCATACATGAGCAAATATGCCATGCAGCACATTTCATGGAGAACTCCTTAAGAACATAACTGCACCAAATGCAGCAGAACCATGCAAAATAGAGCCGTGTTATTAACTTATTATATCTACAGGAAACAGGAACAATTAAGGAGATTGTTCAATTGGTTTGCTTGATAGTTGCAAGATTATAAAGTCGATGAAAGAACTCTCACTGTTTGATGCTAAGAACTTTGAACTGGTCAGAGAGAAGTAGACATATTAGTTCATTAAAATTACCTCATCCTAAAGAAATAATCTGGAAACCATACACCCAAAAAATATATTGAACTAGTTTATACCAGTGAAATGCCACAATACAATTTTCTTAATGTGTGACCGGTAACTGAGCAACTGGTTATCACTCAGCTGAACAGCAATAAGGTTAACAAAAATGATTGTACACATATTTCCAGGATAAAAATACAGTGAAGTGCAGCAAACTCTAATATTTGAGTGCCAAGAAAGATGTTAGAATCCCACAGTTCTCTAAAACAAGAACAGTCTATATACCAAATTGTTTGCATTGGTCTTACCAAGGTTATCAAGTCGCTAGTTGGGCTTATAGGTGCCATGGCGATCAGTTATGCACTACAATTATTTATGATTAGTCGTGATTAGTCAGATTGACCCTGCCATGGCAACTAGGGTTGATTAGACAATTCTTCTAACTATTGGTATTGGTAATGACTTAATAGCACGTGCAATTAAAAGCATGATAGTGGAAATTTGTTATTCTCAAGTTTAACATAGGTAGATTCCATGCAAAAAAAAAAAAGCACCAACAGGTAGTGCTAGATGGTATTCCAGAATTGCAGATATCATGCAGAAGACTATTTGAGTTCAAATTTTGGCATAAATTTATTTTTGTTCAAATATGCAGGAGAGCTGCGCACCGTTATAGAAGAAGAAAAAATGGTACAGGATCAGTTCAAACCATCAGCATAAAACTTAACCAGTGCAAGCTGTCTTCCACACAAAAAAAGGAGCAGCACACTGCTATAATTCTAACTTCTACTCAAATGCCATATGGCCAATAAAGAGGCAATGAAACGAAGGTTAATTTCACATTCTAACCAAATACTACATAGAATGACATTAACAAATAATAGATTCCTTTTTTTTGTATCCAGACATCAAGCCCAGTGTCAATTAAGGCTAGTTTCAATACCAACCAGTGAAACAGTTGCAAGCAGTGTGTTCAAAGGGGAAGCAGTAAGAAGGGATAAAGGAGTTACTTACATCTATCAAACCTTCCGAATTCCCACAGTCTGTCATCACATCATGTTTTATATTCAAATTTCTGTCGCTGGATATATCCATTGAACAATCTTGATCCGAATCTTGTTTGTCACCCACATTCTTCTTAACATCATCATTAGAATGGATGTCACCATGTTCTTGGATTTCATCTTTTGAGCACAAGGTGCCATTGTCTAGATCCTTCAATGAGAAACCATCTTTGTTCGCATGCCTATTACTGTAGCCTGCCAGCATGCCATGGTTGTTATCACCAGATATACAAGGGTTCAATTGCCCACCTCGTGCTTGTTCATTATTCTTCAAAAGAGTAGTCTTCTCACAAGGTTGATGAGATAAATTATCCACTGCTTTCCCAAATTCATGAGCTTGCCTGTTAGGAGATAATCTGCTCAATGCACTGACAGAAGACTGGGTTCGCAGCAACTTTTTTGTCATAACAGAAGAATCTACAGGGGAAATCTACCAGATGAGCTAGGATGCATATCACGACCATCAGATCCTTTCTTTGATTCATCAACACATTGATTTCTTAGTTTGCTGTGGTTAGCCATGGCTTTATAATCTTTAGCAGTCAAATCTCGACTGGATGCAGAAGTTGATAGTTTTTTCTTATCCAAATGAAGTTTGCCTTCTCCTGAAGTAACACATGAGTTGCTGTCATCAAGGTATTCTGCTCTAGATAGTCTTGTGTCTTGATTTAACAGCCTCCTTCGTTTTGATGGCATGTCAACCTCTGATGAATCATCTGCAATGGATGATCTTGCAACCACTTTGTTTCCACCAGTCACAGAGTAGGAAACATGACCCGAGGTTGCACTAAACTCATCATCGTTTTCTCCTTTACTACAGAGCCCTTTCTCACTACGAACGAGTGAATTGTTTTTTACTTCCGACCTTGTGGAGCATGTTTGAGAGGATGCACATTCAACATTCAAATCCTCAACTCGAATACGTGGGTGTAAACAAGAGGAGCAAGGGGCAGAACAGACATTACAGGTGCCAGACTCTGCCTTGACACGAGTGTTGTTGCTTGATACTACTCTTTTCCTTACCACAGTCTTGTCCTACAAATATAAAACAATATATCATTCTTAAAATCATTACTCATGCACAACAAAAATAAGCATGAAGGCTGAAAGGCACAATCGCACAAGTAGCACTCTTAGCTAACATTACATGTCTGTCAAGAACTCAAGATATGGATACAACAGGAAGAAAGGATGGTTTAACTGCATAGATAATAGAACGACACTTAAACCAACAAAACACAAATGTTACCATAAGCGTTTCTAGGGTTTGACCATTACAGTACTTCCTTCTAATTGCCGTGCTGTCCTAAAACTATATAAGCTATATTACATAAGATATATCAAGATAAACAATAATGAGTTCAGATTTAGATAATGGTAGACTGTTCCACCAAATCTACACATGACGACAAGAATGGTCTCATGAACAATTTAAAACGTATTAGATTTACTTGAAAAACATCAATGTGTCATAATATCGTAACAAATAAACATATAATGAATGACCATCAAAGCAGCTTCCATTTCCAAAGTGACAATAGCTCATACAAAAAGCAGGAGATGCAGAAATCGTGGTAACATATTCTTTTTCTACAGCATTATTGGATAGGAATCACACTCCTCCACCACTAAACTGGAGGCGTCTGAGTCTACAAGCGAAGAGGAACAATCTATAAGAAACTCGCTTCTGAGCATCAGATGATCAAAGAGCAGCAAGTATTCTAATCTAATGAAATTCAAGGACCAAAATATTTCCATGCAAATGCAGGGAAATACTCATGCCTCCAATGCTCACCTCCATCTTAGAGGCCAGTTCTTGTTGCTCCGAGCCCTCCATGCGCCCTCCGCCGCACCCTTCAGCTGGTTCCTACACAGCAGAAACAATACGCATCAATCACCAAACCAAACTGCAGCATCGGCCGTAAAATCACATTAAAAACACATGAAATCTTTTTGATTGAAGACTGAAATTCGATTCAGCGGACTTGATATATTCAAAAGAGAAACCTAAATCAAACTAAAACTGATGTACATATTCGATCAAATTCGATTCGTATCCTTGTAAAATCGTGTCACCTTAGAAAGCATGAGCAATAAGGAACGAGCAATAAGAAAACCTGAATCATAAGCACGCGCACCCATGCGCCGTTTGCAAAACTTCGAATCCACGAACTCCTAACACATCGAGTACAATAGAAAACAATCACATCTTCTCATCTCATCCTATTGGGGAAACTAACAACCACCCCCAACAGCAACGCGTACGCCACAGCACCGTGCTGGATGCGGCACTACGCACCTCTGGAACCGGGAGATCTTTGTGGCGCGTGCGATCGTACAGATCCCTCATGGTACGCTCCTGCTGCCCCCTCATTACCCTCCCTCCGCCCCCTGCCGATCGGCCGCGCCTCCGCCCCTAACCCCCGGCACGGGCAGCGAGCAGCCTCGACTCCTCTTCCATCCTAGGGGCGAGAGACAGAGTCCGGCGAGGAGGAGGAAACCAAGACGAGGGGGATTGGATTGAGTGGGGTTCGCTCAGCTCTGTCGTGGCGAGGAAGCAGCAGCGCCGCGGAGGAGCAGAGGAGGAAGACAGGAGAGAGGCGAGGAGAGGAGAGAGAGAGAGAGACCAGTGCTGGTAGTGCTTTAGAAATTTTTGGACTCGGAGGGCGTGACGGTGACGCGACGGGAGACGGGCGAGATGGGAACGGAATGGAACGGAAGCGCGCGACCCTCTAAATCGCTGACTGTCGGGGCCCACTCGTTTCCCCGAGTGGGGGCCGTAGCCACAGGTCAGTCTTGGTTCTCCAGCTGTGTGCTTTACCCGCTTCTTGTATACTACGTACTTAAAAAGGCTGGCCGGTGGTAATTGTGGACAGCTGGTGCAGGGGTAAACTAGTGGTCATGCTTGGAGATACGTGCTCCGTATACATGCATGCATATTCTAGTGGTATACTAATGTATCTGTAGGAATTTTCTTACTGTAGTATTTTAATTTGCACCTGTGTAAGAATAAGACCTAAATAGTATGCGTGTAATAAATAGTGTTAATCTTATTCCTGATTTCATTCTTTGGCATCGATTTATGTGTTGCTAATGTATTTGCCTATTTGGTACTAATATAAATAAATACTCCCTCCGTCCACGAAAGAATGCAATTATAGCACAGTGTCATGTTTTAGTATCCTAAGCGATCAATTATAGATAAAAAATATCAATATTTATGATATCAAATAAATATCATTAGATTAATTACAAAATGTATTTCCATAATAAATTATTTTGGAGCTGTAGATGTGAATAGTACTCACTAGAAATTTGGTTAAACGTGAACCACTTTTGATGGTACGTAACTCGTAGTTGCATTCTTTTCTGGATGGAGGAAGTACATCTCTTGTGACCAGCTTCGTTTTCTTTGGCACCTCTTTATAGTCCCCAAAAAAGAACTCTCTTTATTATAGTTTATAGATATTATTAACCTGATAAATGAAATTGGTTTTTGTTGATTTTATTTTGTTGCAACGGTCATCATATCTTCGCTTTGGGCATGCATGTAGCTAGGGTGCGACAAGCCTTCGCCTCTTGCGCGTCAACGACAATCCAAGCACACCAACATCGGAAAAAATTGACAGCAAACAATAACACCATTTGACATTTGTATGTGTCTTTTTTCTCTAATAAGGAAATCTCTTTTAGGGTCGCACATAGAATGAGTCATACAGATACTTTTCACGTGCTTGCAAGAATCGATAGCACAGCAACTAGAACCCAATTTGGTTGCAAAAATATAATCGGCCAAAGCGTTGTTGTTTTTTTTGTAATAAAGTTGTTCTTCGTGGAATGCTCATAAACGTTTTCATTTTTTCGCTAGAAAGGAGAATTACCTAAGTATGTGTTTTACAATGATTCAACGAGATTTGGATTGATAATAGCCAAATGGCACCAATTCTAGCTAAGAAATTTTGTTTACGCAAATGCACATTTATATGGAGAATCTGGATTTGAAACATTTATGAGATAATCTTGATCCCCACTAAAAGGTGCCTTAGTTGTCCTATTGGTTCTAAATATTTCTCATGGTTTGTTCCTAGGGCTACATATACAAAGTATGTGTTGTTAGTTTCCTGGAGTTTGTAGGTCGACACCTAGTCGACCTAAGAAATGGTTTCATTAATAGCACAACTTTGTTAGTTTGCAACACTAGTACACTAGTGGGTTTTAATCCCGGTTGGGAACTGGCTTTAGTCCCGGTTTCCTAACCGGGATTGCAGATTCGGGACTAAAGGTCGGGACCTTTAATCCTGGGTCACGCAACCGGGACTAAAGCCCATCCTCAGAACTAAAAAATGGTTTAAATCATGGGAGACCTCTCTTGCGGTGTGTGAGATTCGAACCCTAGCTTCCTTATCAACTCAACTGCATACCACATGTGACAAAGTCCTGGACGCTCTCCTTTTGAATTCACCTGTGGGGGACCTTTAGTCCCGGATGGAAGACCTTTAGTCCGGGCTGTTGACACCAACCGGGACTAAAGGGTGTCTTTAGCCCCGATTGGTGTTACCAACCAGGATAAAAGGGTTTTTGGTGCCTATAAAATTTAGAACCGAGACTAATGCTCACATTAGTCCCGAACCCCAATACAACCGAGACTAAAGGTACGAACCGAAAGTCGTTTCTCTTCTGGTGCAAAGATATATGCCAGTGGAGATTAGTGGTCGACTAACTAAGCATAACCCAATTAGCAAGGCGAGTTAAATCGAAAAAACTTTTGAAAGACCTTTCATGATGTTAAACCATGTTAGTTTCGAAAAAAGTCACAATTAGCAAGGCGAGTTAAATCGAACAATAGAATGGAAATAATACGCAATCGAGTTACATATCCAAGGCGGATGTACATTATATTCACGGTTACTCATTGGATATCCATTATTTTGCCATAGGATTATGTATACACAATATATATACTATGTACATGTACTAGAAACAGAAAATAATGACACAAAATGATAGGTTATTCAAACATTCAATCCAAAATAAAACTACCTCATCCTAGCTAGAGTTCTCTCCCTCCCAACATCAATACTAGTGTGTGCTATATATGTGATGCTGCAATCAATTATACATGCAAATGACTAGAATTTTAGGCTATCAAAATGCTTTTCGTTTACCCTTTGAAATTTAGAATACACTGTCTACGCGGATCCTGAGCCCCGCCCCAATGTGTGACTTCTTCTGTGTGCGAAAATGCGCACACGTACGCACCGTCGCATGTGTAAAAGCATGAAATGCAATCAATTGACACTTTGCATACATCGGCTAGAGTTCTTACTGGTTGTTGAGACGTGGAGTGTACGATATTTCCAAAACATGATGTATTCGTGATGTGGCGCGGTTTGAAAGTTGACGAGAGAGGACATTGCAGCGCAGTGCAGCAAATCAAAGGCAGACGCGTCATCATCCAAAAGGCTTCCTGCATATTTTTCATTCTTCTCCTCCGTCGTCCAAAGGAAATAGGCATGCATATGCACTGGTTCTTCGGCCGCGCCCATGCGCGCGCGGGTCACTGGCCACACGTATTTTTTTGGAAAAAAAGATATAATCAAGGGGGGCCTGTATTTCGATTTGAGAAAAATCTGAGGAGGTTTTCGAAAAAATCGCTGAGAGTGTCTCTGGAGTGCGGGTTGATTTTTGATAAAAGGAAGGGTTTTTTTGCAAAAAATCCGGAGCTCATCCGTTTTGGACTGTGGGTTGATTTGAAAATTATCTGAGGTGTTATTTGCAAAATATTCTGAGAGGACCTCTGGAGCGCGGGTTGATTTTCCAAAAACATAAGGGGTTTTTCGTAAAATGACCGCGCCTCGTCCGATCTGGGCCGTCGATGCGGCCGATCGAACGGCCGGCGACGTGGCGCGCCGTGTGGGCAGCCTGGCCACACGCTTTCTTGTCTTTAGATTATTGTTCATGCAATGGACACGGCAAATATAATCATATTATATATTGGTCGGTCGCGGTCGTCGATGGGATCGTAGTCGTCTTTGCATGCGCATTAACGCATGCACGAAGGAAACATTATTCCAACAACTATACGATCGAAACCATGAAATGATTAAGCTGCCTCTAATCCCATTTTATGTACGCTATATATCGTGTAACATATATGTCCACCGAAATAATCTATACGGAGTACGTACTAGACACAACTACACAAGCAAAAGTAGACCCACCTAGGCAAGGATCGATGCACGTAGCTATATATAGACATCGTCTCAGCATGGTCGATCTTATCATAATATGGCCGACGAGCGAGCTAGCTAGAAGAGGCGTGTGTGAAAGTGATTCCATGTCACATGCAAGGTTACACGTGACACGAAGTTACACGTTGGGAGTCATTTTCCCCTCCGACGCGAGGGCGGCGCATCTTTCATCGCCATCGTATCGATCCATGTGTAAAAGAAAAAGCAGAACATCACCCGTACCTCTTTTTCTCCTCGTAAATACGAGAACAAAATTTGCGTCAAAAAGGGCTAAAATTCGATGCTTTCTGGCTCGGGCACAACATTCCCAATTTAGCAAGTTGGTCTTTTGTCCGAGCATTAATTAGTGGCTGACATGTTGGCTCCACGTGGCGCGGGGGCCCTCCTGTCAGTGACGGATACCCCCGGACCTGATCGGTGGTCTCCTTGTCAGCGGGCTTTTGTAGCGCGAGAAAATTATTTTAGGGGACAACAAGGTGAGGGCTCATACGTGTTTCACAAGGTATTAGGCGGCTAGCTGCTGCCGTGTGAGTGACACGGTAGTCGGTTGAGAATTGAGATGCACAGCCATTGCTAGGAGTAGATATTTGCGGGCCGGGGGCGGTGGGGTACACGTACTGGAGCAGTCCGGGCTATAGTTGTCCATGCAGCCGAGGCACGACGGCACGGCACGAAGCCCGCTTTTTTAGCCCGACACGAGCACGGCACGACACGGTGACATGCGGGCCGGGCCTGGCTGGCCCGGAGGCAAGCAGGTGTGTCTGGGCATTGCTTAGGCCCGTGAGGGTGGGCACGGCACGCAAGACGGCCCGCCTGAGTCAGCCGGCCCGGCAGCGGCCCGGCCACCCCCTCCCCCTCCTCACTCCTCAGTCCTCATCCCCTCCCCACGGCCCAGCGCGGCCGGCCCAGCGTCCCCACCTCCCCCTCCTCATAAGGCCCATGGCCTGCCATGCAGCCATGACCCATCACCGGCATCGCCAGACACTCCCACCTCGGCCGAACCCTAACTCCCTTCCGGCCTTCCCCTCCCCCCTCCCCGCCGCCACCTCCCGTAATCCCGTTCCCCGCACCGCACGGCGTGGACGTGGACGCGGCCTTCTCCTTCCCCGCCGTTCACCCGCTT